GTGTGTGTGTGTGTCTGAGGACGCGGGGGCGTTTGTTGGCGGCTGGGCCCGGCTGAGTCAGTGCGTGGTCAGCAGGCGAGTGGATGGACGATCGCGGTCCCTTTCGGGGTGGTGGTGGTTGTGGTGGTGCCTCGCCCCGTGTCGTCCTGTGCCCGCACGCCCACGGCGCGTCCTGGGCGGCCACGCCCGCCGATGGCGTCGGATTAAGGACATCTTCCCTAATCGAGCCGCGCGCTGTGTCCTGGATCCCTCCCGGGCGACCCCGGCAGCGTTGGGCCCCGGTGGCCCGCCGCCCGGGGAGCCACGCGGAATGATCGGGGCTGACGGCCGAGGCCGACCGCCGGCGGGGCGGGTCCTGTCCCGGGGCTTAGAGCCGGCCGCAGTGTCAACACGCCGCGCACCGAGGGAGTATGTTTTTCATTTTTATTTAATTTTATTTCCCCCCGTTGGCTTTCTCGGGGGTACGACGGCGACGGAGACGTTACAGGTAACGCAAACACCAACCACCTGCGGTCCCTCCCGCTCCGCCGCACTCAGACCAGGTGAAAACAGAGGATCGGTTGACTCCAAACATTAGGGAGACGACGGGCCGCTCACAGAAAATGAAGCAAGCTGGCTGGTTGGAGTTCTCGCTAAAGTCGGGGCATACAGTAGTTGGGAGGATTTTAAATTTTATTTTATGCGGTTACAGTATTACCAACCACAGAAGTGCGCAGGGCTAATAATCCACCTTGTTACGTAGTTTCATCGAAGAAATGTATTTTAATTTTAGACAGTCCTTTATTTTTGCCAAACTACCTGTACGTATTTTTTTGCTTGTGAGCCACCACGCCAGGCGCCACTGGCGCCAACCCCTATACCGGCTCGGCTACCCGACCAAGGGGAGGAAGTATGGGACCATAAACCAAACACTCTTCGCGACAAAAAAATATGACATGACGGCCAGACAACGACGACAATAAAATTAATACAAAAAGTCAGAGGTGCCCTGGCGACGCGCTTTTTGGGCGCTGCTCCTGCGCTTCGGATCAAAGGCGACGCGACTCTCCAAGGCATATCAGCGCATTACGGGCTGATCGTAAACCTGGCGGAGATTTAGGGGCTCGGCAATAACCTACCGTTGCCTGGCAGTCCTCTTGGCCGGCCGTTTTATAAACCTGACGCATCGTGGCGCGGCGCGACGTGGCCTGGCGCGGCGTGCTGCTTTCACGGTAATGACAAGTTATTCGGGTTGATCGATCAGAAGCACTCTCCAGGACGCGGCGTGGGGCGGCGTGGCGAGAGCGAAGGCAGCAGAGCCGCGCCGCGCAGAGCGGGCGAGTCGAAACGCGATAAAACATCGGAATTAGTGGATGAGCGCTTTTGGCCGCCTGGCGGGCGCGACCTGGCCACGGGCTCAGCTTCTCCAGTGAGGCGTGAACGCGTTCAGTCCCGCCCCCGCCGCCTCCACCAGGGCAGCCAGGCCAGGGCCATCGCTGCCCCGCGGGGGAGGCGAGCCGCCGCTGGCGCCGCCCAGGTGGGCGGGTTCGATCCCCGTCAGGGTCGGGGAGGCACGTCCGCGCGGCGTCGATGGGAAATCTGGATCATAGAATAGAATCAAAGGATACTCCCCTCCTTTCTCTTCCCCTTCTCTCGTTGTGTTGCATTCGCGTACGCTCCGCTCGCAGCTCGCTGATCACCCCGTCGTATACGGTTTACAAAACGCTTACGATTTATTTCTTTTCGGCGTGAGTAATTTTTCGAGATTTCCATTTTATTTTATTTTATTTCATATCGTTTCGCGGCACGTCCAGCTGCAGTACACTCGTGAGAACCGCACCCTTTGCTCGCTCTCTCGCTTCTCTCTTTCTCTTTCTGACACACACGCTACATCATTTCCTCTCGCTCTGTTGCACCTACCTCGGACGCGAGCCGTCCAAGATTATCACTCACCTTCCCTTCGCGTCCATCCGGCGTCGTGCCTGCGAGTCTACCCGGTCTGCCCTCTGTTCGATCCAGACAAGAATGGCGCAGTGTTCAATCTGCGCGGCGTCTGGAACGCGGGACGCAGGGGACGCTTTTTGAACGGTTGCCTCCTTCATCGCATCGCTCACCTCCCCTTGGGCAGCCATGGTGGCGGTGTTTGCCAGACAAACAGTGAGATGGGCCCCAAGTCGTGCATGCTTTCGATAAGTTCCCAGCGCATCGCTCAGTAAGAAGGACCGATATGAGAGGGGGGAAAAGATAAGGGGAAAAGTGTCCCTGTCAAACATTTGTATGGGTAGTCCGTGAGAGTGAAGCACCCAGAGAACCCCCTGTCCAGAACCAGGTTCAAAACCGACGACATTTTAGCTACTGACGTTGTTTAGGTTACTTGTACTAACTGAATATAGTTTCCATAAAACCCGATTTGGTTGTATGAAGTAAATTTTTCTATGGGTCTGTGTGTATCCAGCGTGCAGTGCGTGTGGAGATTCTGACAGTAGACATGAGTAGTTTACAGTAATTGGTTTGGCTTGATTCCTGTATTGGTCGGAAAACTTGTGTTCTTTTACGTTTGAACGGCATGGAGAAATTTTCTTTTACGTTTGGACGCCATGGAGAAATTTCCTAACTGGAGGCCGTATGTCCTTCGATTAAGCCCTTTCTGCACTTTGCAACTCGTCCCATCTCTTCTCCTCCGTCTTCCATCTCCCTCTGTTGCACAAGCGTTCCCCTCGTAAGGAGCAAAAAGCCCCCCCGTGCAGCTTAACCTTATCGGAATTATTTATTTCTCGTGCTGCGGGGGGAAAGGCTTTAGCTTTGGCGGGATAAGAGAAGGCGGGGAGAAGGATTGGGGAGAGGGGGGGGGGCAAGTGAAGTTGCAGGTCAGGAAATTGAAAGGCTAAAGAAGTGAGTGGAGGTTAGGAGGAGGAGGGGGGGGGGTGCGGCTGGAGAAAATCATGATCAGGTCCGCGCTTAACTTCCAAAAACGAAATAAATTAAAATCCCGTGAAATTGAAAAGAAATAAAACAAAACGCGCCTGTAACGTCGTGTGAAGAGGGAGGGGAGGGAGGGGATTGAGCGTGAATGTGTGTGAGTGAGTCCAAAGAACAGAGAGAAACCAGTCGTTGGAGCAAGCGTTAAGCTGCCGGGTCCGAAGATCCGCCTCGAACGGCCTTATATACGAGAGGGGGAGAAAAATAATGGGGGGGGGGGTATACTGTCAGTTTGCACCCGCCTGAAGCCCTGCCTAGCATGCACTCTAGTTCAGCCGTGTGGCGCTCGGCGCTCGGTGTGGCTCGTCGCCACGACAATAAAGTAGTGTGGTTGTGGTCCAATCGGAACGGTTTTGTTCTGCGGATCGCGGCGACCGCGGCGGCGCGGGGCCCAGCGGGGCCCACCTGGCCCGGCCGGGCGAGGCGCTTAGAGCCCTTAATGCCCGCTTTACTGTTCAGTCGCCACACACCTGAACCGGTTTGGCAATCCTCTCCAATTTGTTGCGTATAAAGTAATCCTGAGCGATGACCAATGCGATGAGTTCGTTTACCCGATTAAATGACCGCTCTGTGGACGCCTTTTCCTCCAGGTGGCCGGCCTCCCTGGCCCTGGCAGCCCCTGATCCGCGGCGTCGCGAAGGAAAAGCTGATTTCAGGGAAGGAGCAGGGAAATAAAAGGGGGGGGGGGGCGCAATCCGTCTGCCTGCCAGTATGGCCCCAGCATCAACCGAACGAAATTACCACTTGCGCCATTTAATTGAAGATCGACCGATTGGGAACGCCCGAGCGAACGCCCTGCGGAAGGGAACGCCTTGTGGCCAGCCGGTAGATCTGGCTAGCCAGCCAAGCGTCCAATAAGGCGTGCGAAAAGCGTTCAACTCTTTTAATGCACGATTCGCTTTATCGGCAAGCGTTCGCCCACGACGCCGCGCCCCGCCGCGCCACGTCGGGCCGTGCGCTATAAGGTGCAAGCCTCTCTCTGCATTCCGCCCCCCCCGCGGCCCTCCGGCCCCCTGCTGCCCCCCGCCGCCCCCCGCGCAGCCGCATTCTTACCGGTAAGCTACAACACGATTTCGTGTTGCCGGCTCAAGCATCCAATTTTGTACTGGATATGCTATATTGTTTCTCCTCGGCGGAGGAACGTCAGGTTGCGGCGCGCGGCGCCTTGTCTTGCTGGAGCTGCTATGGAGCTAGCCCTTGCTGGAGCTCTCGCCCGACATGCAGCCCGAGTCGTACGCCGACTTGGTGTCGCCGGCGCCGGGGACGCCTCCGGAGACGCCTCCCGGGCCGGCCCGGAAGGAGCGCAGCTCGTCCAGCACGGGGGACTTGCTGCCGAGGAGCAGGTCACCGTCGAGGAGGCTGTCGTTCGGCGCGACCGTCGAGCGCACCCGCCTCTCGGCCTCGCGCTCCCGCCGGCTCAGGCGATGCAGACTCTTCTGGTAGCTCTGTTGGGCACGCCGCGGACGGGGAGGGCGTCACTGGACCGGAGCGTCGACGGCGACCTGACCAGCAGCCCCGGGGCCCGTGCTTACCTGGCGGCTCACGTCGTCGGGGTCCGGGCCGCCCGCGTCCAGCGAGGACGTGTTGTCGCTGTCCACGCCGTCCAGGCTGAAGGCGGCGTACTTGCTGTGTGGGGGGTCGATCCCCACCAGCACGCCCACGGCGGGCTCCTCCTCGGTGGCGATCGTCATCTGACTCTCGTCGATGGTCTGGTGGAGGTCGGCCAGCCCCTTGGATTCTGGGCAGGACTTGGGCCGGGGCGGCAGCGGCAGCGGCAGCTCAGTCATCCAGGACGGCGGCGGCAGCGGTGGGTCGGCGCAGGTCCTCCACGACGGGCTCTCGTACTTAAGCTGCAGATCCTTGCTGCCCAGCACGAGGTGCTGCCCCTGCGCCTGCTCTGCTCGCGGCCCCGGGCAGCCCCGACGGCAAGGCCGCGGCCACCCGCGTCCGCCTTGGACGATGCCCTCGCGCAGGTCCAGCGACGAGGAGCGGCGCTCCACTGTGCGCACGCAGGCCAGCGGCGCCTCGACGCTGGGGGTGGCGCTGGGCGTGGCGCTGGGCGGCGCCGAGGTGGACATGGACTCGGTGCAGGAGGGCAGGCTGTCGAGGCCGTGGTTGCGCGGCCGCGGTGACTGGGGCCGCTTCATGAGCGAGTACCTGCTGGCCGTGTGCTCGGCGTGATACACCCGTCTCCCTCCCTCCCTCACCGCCACTCGCCGGCGGCGGGTCGCATACTCACGGAGGTGGGTAGCCCGGGTTCGTGTGCTGGCTGTCGCCCGCCTCGCCCTCCAGGCGCCGCAGCCGCCCGTCCAGGTTGGTGAGCAGCGGCGCCGCGCGGTTCCACTTGTCCTCCAGCTTCTTGCACCGCCAGTCAAACTGGGGGGAGCATGAGGGTTTGTTGCGCGTCCTCAGCCCCACCCCTATTCTATCCAGGCTCCGCTGCTGCTCACCTTGCTCTCCACCACCTCGGCCCAGTGCTTGTGGTAGTGCAAGCAGGGCAGCGTGTCCAGGCCGGCCAGCCTGTCGGGGAGAGGCGCGCTCTCGGTCGGCTTCTTCCGCCTCCCGAGCAGCAGCTCGGCCTGTATGGAGCAGATGTTGAGCAGCCCCAGCACCAGGAGCACCAGCACGAGGGCGACGGCGATCTGGAAACGCAGATACGACGCGTGCGTCCATGAACTCGTTGCACTTCTCCGCGCCGCGGCCCCGTGCTCGCCCGCTCGCTGCGCCCTCTCTGACCTGGAGATACAGCGCCCGATGCGAAAGGATCTCGGCCGCCCAGTACCAGAAGTCGTTGGAGGCCGCCAGGTCCAGGATGGTGACGGGGGCGATGGCGGACGGCGTGACCAGCGGCGGGCACTGCGGCTTGTTGTCCCAGGGCAGCCACGACGGCAGCCCCAGCAGCTGCATGCCCCTACACGAGTCGTCCGCACCGGTCAGCACCCCTTCCGGTCCGAGCGAGGCAGATGCCCACACATGGCCCAACCCTTCTGATTGTGGGTACTTACCCTGCCACTCCCTTACCCCCCCCCTCCCCCCTCCTCCCCCCAACAACCTTGCGGCCGGCCGCCGGCGCTCTCGCTTCGCTGCCCTGAGTGCCTGCCCCGCCCCTTCTCTCGCATAAAAATCTGCTGTCAGATGTGTTCCGATTCGAAATTCGGTTGGTAATTATACGGGTTGAGTCGAGCGCGCGCGATACCCAGGTCGGCCCCCCTTCCCGCCCCGCGCGCCGCCCGAGTTGTCTGAACCGTCTGAACCGCATTGCCACTGTGACATGGGCACCTCCTCCCACCGACCGCTTTACAGTTTGGGTGCTGCTAACCCCTCTCTGCGAACCCATGACCAAACTTTTTGACTCTCGTGAGATGTTTTTATTACTCTGGCCTCATATCACGCATAACTTATTACTTTTGGAAGAATGTGGCCATGGTTTTATTTCTTTTGGGGCGGGCGGCTGCTTATTGTGCTTTCGTAAAAGTGATATAATTGATCCACTGATCCAATTGATCCTAAATGTCGAAACGAAACACACCTCAGGAAGATTTCGTGGATAGCCGTGATGGATCGTGTGCGAGAACACCTGCGACACCTGTTGATGAGCCCCGCTGCAGCTGCGGCACCTGGGGGTGTATAGCGTATATGGCCTCCAAGAAGCAGCTGTAAGCGTAGCCCGCGTAGCAGCGACCTGAGCAGCGAGGCGCGCTTCGGGAGGCGGAGCGACTGTTGCCGTCTCCCTGGGAACCACTCGGAAGGCGTCTCTCGTCTACAGTCGGAGCGCGCCAGCAGCCCTGGGGGGGCAAAGTTACCCGCGAGCGAGTGTCTCTGGCAATGAGATGCTCCAATTGAAGCACTTAGCACGCTGGCCTGGGCCGGCCCTAATTACAGACTCTCTCTCTCTCCCGCCCTCCTCTCTTCCTCTCTGGCTCTCTCTCCGTCTCTCTTAGCTTTGTCCATCTTGCACACGCACATTGACAGTGCATCTGTGCATTGGAGGCATTGGAGAGAGAAAGGGAAAAGAGGGGGGGATTTCTGCTGATATTCTCACTCTCCCACTTACGTGTTGTGTGCCGTGTGTATAAGCATGGGTGAATATTCGAATTCAGGCGTTATATGCATGAATATTATTTTTGCGATGTATAACTCTCGACCGCTCGCGTGAAGCAGTCATTTGTTTCTGTTTCTACGTCGTGTGCACATATACACACACACACATACACACAGAGAGGCAAGCTCGCGCGGCCACCTCTCCAGACAAAGGCAGTAAAGTGCTAAGGAGGCGGGTCAGTGGAATATCGCCCACCTCATTTCGCCTTGCCTCTCCCCGGCCCGCCCCGCCTCGCCCCGTCCCGCCCTGCCACGCCCCGCCTCGCCTCGCCCCGCCCCGCCCCGCCCCGCCTGCGGTGGCCTGCGCCTGGGCCTTGCGGTGGAGCAATGTCAAGAGTTTGGCTTGGCCCGCTACGGACCCCGCGGTGCTAAAGAGGTGGAGGTGAACACCGGAAGGCACGAGAGCACAGCCCATGGGCGGGGGCGTTGCGGGCCTGGTACTGCCTAAACCTCCAACCTCCCACACCAATCCTTGCCCTGCCCGCAAGGAGTCGCACAGCGCAAGAGTCGGCCTGCGCTTTTTATTATTTTGGCGCTGCTTGTGCGCCTCGCCTGCGCGCCCCCGGTCAGGGCAATCAGGACCATATCGGTGCAGAAAAGCCCTTTGTGCTGCAGGCTCGGGGCGACGCGCCCTGCCGGGCCCTGCTTGGGCTTGGGCCCCATTACCGGGCTGCAGGGCCGGCCTGGCCCTGTCTGTACGCGGAAAGACTGGTGGCCTGGCACTGGCACGCCGCGCCCCGCCACGCCACGACGGTCGTTAGCTGGGCCACAGCAGCGGCGGCGGTCCCTGACGCTGCTGCTGCCGCTGGGCTCCATGCAAATCCGGGAAAAGTCAGCTCCATCTCGCGTCGCGCCGAGATATGTGGTGTGCTAAAAACAAAGCAATACAGTAGTGTGTACTAGTCGATGGCGGCGGCGGCGGTCGGCGGTCGGCCGGAGCTGGTGCACACGCGCGAGCTACGAGCTAGTGGCGCAGCTAGCAATTGTTCGGCGTGCTGAATGCCAAACTGGGCCGCCTTTATTGATTGGAATTGCAGCGGGTGAGATCGATAATAATTGTTCCAAGGCTGCTGCTGCTGCTGCTGCTGCTAGGAGGGAGCGGCCCGCGAGGCGCTACGCGTGAAGCTCGACGCATAACTGAGCGCACAGCGCAAAGCTCGGCGCGAAGCTCGACGCTAAGCTCGTCGCAAATGCTTGGCATCGATGCCCGCGGTGCAAAGCTGGGTTCGGTGCAAAGCGCACACGTCAGTGCGAAACTTAGCGATAAGCTCGGTGTGAAACTTAGCGCAAAACTCGGCGCAAAGTGAGGCGCAAGCCCGCGGCTCCGGCCATCAGCATGATCAGGGTACCGTTGGAAGTGTGTGCCTGGCGATTGGAGGAGAGGGAGAGGCCACCGCCGCTGCGCCACGGATATGTTTGTGTGTATGTGTGTGTGTGAATGGTGCGGGAGGCGCTACAAATTATTTCGCCGTGGGGCCCAACAACAACGTGATGCTGCCCCCCCAGGAGAGATTCGCGCTTCACTGGCTGTCGCTGCTGTTTCACTTTGAAAATAAAATAAAATGTTTTAATATACCACATACTAAAAAGAAAATGGCGTAATTAGAAAAAAATACACATGTCATCTTCTGCTGTCGCGCTGCGTCGCTGCCGCCGCTGCTGCTGCTCTTCCGCGAGCACAAAATTTTGAGATGCCGTAAAAATAAAAAGCCGACGGGTTTGATTTACGCCAGCGGGGCTTATCTGATGGGCAGGAGGAGGAAAGGGGCGAACGTTGGCGGCGGGGAGACAGAGCAGGACAGGCCGAGCCAAGGACTCATCTCATCATATTTTGTTCTGTTTTTTGTTTGTCGCAGGTATGAGTCGAGCGCCACGTCGCATGACGAGTGAGGACCACAGGGGCTGCTGCTGCTGGTGCTGCAGGCCCGCGAGGGGGTGAGCGGAAGCACCGATTTGTACCAGGTGGCTGATTCCCGCCGAACACTTTTGCAGGTACACTTTACCGCATGCACGGGTGCGGACGGGTTTGCCTATGTTCACTGCCGCCTTGCGAGTAGGCAACCCGCCCCGCCCGCGTGCATATGCGGTACAGTATAACTACGAAAGTGCACAGGGCGTGAATCAGCCACCTGGTATGCGAAACCCAACGAACGACCCTCTCTGAAAAGCCAACCCTCAGTACATACTACCCTCCTCCTCGGTGCGCCCTACCCCCTACCCTCATCCACCTCAACGGCCTCATCCAGCTTTATGCAGCGCTGTTGCGCGCAAGCCCGCCCAGCCCCTCGGCCCCCCGGCCGCGAGGCAGGCGAGGCAGGCGCTTCCAGAAACAAGACGACACGCTAATTCCCCGAGGCCGGGCCGCGGCCGCGCGCCCGTGGCTGAGACTGCTATAGCGACGCGGCGCTGCATTCCAGCGGCGTCGTCGCGAGGCCCGCGGCGGCGGCGCCCCGCCACGCCACCGCTATGCGACCGGGGCAGCCTGCGCGTCCTCCAACTTACGTCACGCGTCGTCGTGTAGCGCGCGACGATTCAAATTTTCTCTTTTTACATTTTGTGGATTATTTTCCCGCGTGCAAGTGTATTTTTACTTGTCCGATCAAACATGCGCAACGGCGTGAGAAATCTTGGGTGGTGCATATGGTGTGTATGTTTGTGTATACATGCACCTGTAGGACTTACAACCACCACCGCCCGCTGCTGCTCTTTCGCCGCGGCCGCTCTCCTCTCTCCACGCCGAGAGAGAGAGAGAGAGAGAGAGAGAGAGAGAGAGAGAGAGAGAGAGAGAGAGAGAGAGAGAGAGAAAGGGAAGAGAAGAAGAAGCAATCCCACAAGCCTTCTGCCGCTGCCGCTGCTTCGATCTGCTTCGCATTCCCTCACGTCCCCCTGACACCTGTAGCCCCCCACTACTCGGCTCGGCACTGGAATGCGTATGATTTGCAGGCACCACAACAGCAACAGGTGTTTGGAGGGGGGAGGGGAAGGGGTAACCACAGGGAGGGCGCGGACACGCAGGCACACAGGCAGGGAGGGATGATGTGCTTCGCTGCGCTGCTGCACCTCCTCGCCGTATGTACCCGCGCCCTCTGCCGCGGCGGCGGACCGTGGCGGAGTCATCATTCCGCCTTTTCCTTGAGTATTTTGATATGCAGCAGCGGCAGCACATTTGAGTGTGTGTGTGCTCTCAGCGTGAGGAGGAGGAGGAGGAAGAGAGGGAGGGGAGAGCGGTGATCCATGTGACAAATTAGTCCTGCTCTCCAGGCCCGCTTCTCCTCCATCATCGCAGAGAGAGAGAGAAAGAGAAGGGGAAGAGAGGGGAGCTCTTTATCACGCCTGTAAACGTGTTCTGCAAGCGAGCGTGTTTTCGCATCGGTGGCCGGCTGCTTTTTTTTCGTTTTTCTTTTTCTCTTTTTTAGCTTGTTTACCTCGCGATCCCGGGCGGCCAGGACAGCCGGCCGGCCTGCCAAGTGAGCCGCCCCGGAGAGAGAGAGAGAGAGAGAAACGCGCTCTCTGCTGCGCCGAGGAAGCTTCTCCGTGGTGGAGCGCTAATCCGGCTGCGCGGCTCCGTAACGAAGCGCAGAGCGAAGCGCTGCTGCTGGCCGGCCAGATGCACTTCTGGCTGGACCCGGAGGAGCAGGAGCGTGAGTGCTGCCCATGGCCGCCGGGGCGTGGCGTGGCGCGGCGCGGGCCGAACCGGCTGCCGCGAGCTTAGTTGGCGCGCCTGTCGCCAGGCAGCGCGCCGCCCGCTCACATGGAGTTCCGTTCGGAACAGCGCGGAGGTGGAGGAGGAGAAGGAGGAGGAGGGGCGTATGTGCCGCGGCGGCGTGGCGAGGCGAGGCGCGGGGCAGCCTTACATAAGGCGTGAGGAGGCCGCTCACCTAGAGCATTCCTGCCACTCACAGAAATTGGGTTCACGAGGAGAGCGTGCTCCGGCAGCGTCCGGGGCGTCGGGAAGGAAGGACCGGTCCGGTCCGCGCGGGCCCGCTCAGCTAAGCGGGCGCTCCGCGGCCTCGCGCTGCTTGGAGCGGCGGCCCTCTCCGCGGCGGCGCGGCTCGCATCAACCCGATACTTAGTTTGGTCCCGTTGTTGTAAAGAACGTAAGAGTTTGCTTTACGCATCTGCAGTAGTGGTTCTCTATTTCCAATCAATTTCGTGGCGTATTTCAGGCGTGTTGCATAATGTACATACATTCACTTAGTAAAGCTATTATTGCTTGCCAATTGGTGAAGATAACAACTATACGAGTCGTGTATATTAAATTTTGTCTGAAGTATTCGTAGCTCTCCCGGTCGCCTCGCTAGTGGTATAGTCCGTGAGCGTGTGAGCCGCTCCCCGCTGCCGCGCCGCTCCGCGCTGCGCTGCGCCGCGGAGGCGGAGGGCCCCTGGCGCGGTAGGCAGCGCGCCGCGCCGGGCCGCTCTACGGGCCGGTAGCGCACCCGGCGCCCGCCAGCCGCGCCCGCCAGCCCGGCCCAGCGGAGAGAGGAGAGGACAGAGCAGCGCCGCCAGGAGAGCTGTCGGCCGCCTCCACGCCCGCCTCCCCATCGCCACACTTCACTACCGTGCCGTTCGTTATTGGCGCTCCCCTCCACACCCGGCAGCTCCGACATCCAAACAAATGTAAATCGGCATGCAGATTGCTCCGTCAGTTGGGCCC